ATCATTTTCGTGACCAGCAGTCTGCTGAACGATATCGTGCGACATTTTTGGGTGACACTGAGCATGAAGGATCAGTTTAACCCGCGCCCCAGTGGCGGTCTCAGCCAACTTCGCCCTAGTGAGGGGGGGCATATGTTACCACCCCCCTCTAACTCAAAAACTAAGAGGGCTAGAAAGACGCGGTAAAAAGCAGTCAATAGCTCTCAATGCGTACGTTTGAAAGTATTTCGGTCATTTTTCACCTTAAAGCAATATTGGGGTCACCAGAGGTCATCAAAGGTCAAAATTTGCCAATTGTCATTATATTTTTCAGAAAACATGCCGCTATCTCAGGAACTATGGTAGCTAGAAAAACGCATGGAACAGCAAACGATAGCTTTTGAACTCTTCTTTTGAAAAGGTCATTATCAATATTGACCCCAGGTCAACAGTTTAGCCTCCAGAGGGCAAAAACTCCAAAAATAGCTGTTTTTACGAAAAGTGTTTTTCGACAATTACTTTCGACTACAAAAAGCCACGACATTTCTATTGCCATAATCGTGTTCCTCTCGCCGAGACGCGTCGAATGAACTATAATTTGACCTTGAAAGGTCAACTTGAAACTTTGACCTCAGGTCAAGGTCATGACCTGACCGGAAAAGGTCATGTTGCATATCAGTCGATGCGTCTCAACAAGAAAAACACAATGAGACCATCCCCAGCGTTCTATCTCTTTCCAATCGCGAGTTATTGGCAAAAAACTGTTTGTAGCCTCAAGTGACCTCGGATGACCTGTCTAGAGGCTATCAGCAAAAATGACACCTTGGTCATCACGAGTGGACTACATCATTGTGATTCTGAAATATTTAGACTGTTCCGATGCGTACACACGGATCTAGAGGCATTTTCATTTTTCTCCATTGACTTGTAATGGAAAGGTCACGCCACTGACCTGACCTTAGGTCACGGATATAAAAAATCCGAGATATACAAATTGTAGGCGCCCATAACAGCATGCAATCCACCAAGTTTCAAACCTTTCTGACAAACACTGCAGGCTGGACATGATTGCAAACTTTTTTTTAGGCTTGGTCAGTTAACTTGACCTGGTGACCTGACCTGACATGACCTGGGGTCAAAAATTTCACACATTGTCCAAAATTGATGTACAAAAAGCTATGCCAAGCGGCGCGGCGCTACGCGCCGCGGTTTTTTATTTATACGCAAAAAACGCGACAGGGTGGTAACATATGCCCCCCCCCCACTGGGGCGAAGGTTAAAAGGCGACCTCCGGGAGCTTAACATTGAGTTGGATAGTTCCTAAATAGCTGCTACCCCCCGGGTGGTCCACACTGAGACAGTCTACAGTGTCGAGACGATCTCCGACACAATCAGCTCTCGTTGAGCAGCTCAGTTTCTGATGTTGTCAAGCCGGCCGGTGACCGATCGGCTCTCTGTCCGTTGAGCAGCCCAGTCTCTAGTGTTGCCGCCCCGGCCGGTGACTGATCTGAGCAGTCTATAGTGTTGTCGTCCCGGCCGCCGACCGATCAGGTGTTTCAGTCCAATGTCGCCCCGGCCTCCGACAACGATCGGTAGCGTCGGTAACGAGTCGGTGGCATGGCCGCCGACGACCGTCGATCACGACAACACCGGATTAGCGGGGGTGCTGTCGGAGCCCGCGCAGCGGCAGAGGGGGAGGGGAGAGCCGCCGGGGTGTAGTGGGGAGCGAACCGGGCGACTCGCCGCTGGCAGGTGGTTCGATAGATAGTCTGGGGCCCGACCTGTGGGACACTGCAACACGTATATTTATAGTAAATCCATGAATGGCAAATGCGTAGTGTGACACTGTGCAGCCTGATATTTTGATGCAGGGACAATGCGGTTACGTACCACTGAAGTTCTAGGATACACGTGATCGTCTGGAGCGCAGGCGAATTATGTACCAGAGTTCTGAGTACCTGAGCATATGAGTTCGTCAGTTCACTGACCCATCATTTTCACTCGTGCTGCATGAAAGTGTACCTATGTATGGCTAGCCCATCGACTGTATGTACATACCTAGACCAGGGCCAAGAACACCTACTCTGTTTGCAAGTACTACAAGCCATTCCTGAACCAGCGTAGTATTGATTTTCGTGCTCAGTAGCAGTATACCTGTTTGACTTCGCGCAAACCTGACCTGGATACGGAACAGGGCTCTGCTCCTCAGCCGTTAGCATGTCGTTACGAAAGCGAAGCGGCATACCACTATCGTCAGATGGGGGCTTACGGCTGCAGTGTCATGCATGTCACAGTTTATTGTATCTTTACGATTGTCGGGCTCACTTCAATTCACTGAAAACTAAAATGATTCCGGGGGGGGGGGTGATATTAGGAGAATGGTCTAAAACGAAACCCCAATTATTCCCGTAATATACTTTAAGTAGCACCTTTTTGGCCTTAGATACCCCCAATATCCCAACATTATTACCCTAATATGCCTGTTGGATGGCTAAGTGGAATCAAAATGATTATCTGGTTATGCCTCCATTATTCTTACGAAATGCCTAGTGTATTCCCCCTGATTCTCCTCTATGCCCCTTTGATGCCCCCTAGCATAGTTCGGATGCTCCGTTTAAACCCGATCTATGCTCCTTTGATGCTATCTATATACCCCATTGATGCTCCTTTGATGCTTGCTCTAAACCCCATTGATGCTCCTTTGATGCTCTCTATATACCCCATTGATGCTCCTTTGATGCTCTCTACATACCCCATTGATGCTCTCTATATACCCCATTGATGCTGATTTGATGCTCTCTATACACCACATTGATGATCCTTTGATGCTCTCTATGTATATACCCCATTGATGCTTCGTTCCGCAGTGGCGGATCAAGGGATGGGCTCGCGGGGTCATGCTATTCCTCGTGAGATGCCCATGAGATACCTAGCGCACTGATTTCTTTACCCACACAAGGGTAAGAGACGCCATTTATGTAACCACCTTCGCCCTTCCTCTGAATTTCCTGGATCCGCCCATGTCATCGACGCTCAGCCACACCAACAGCAACCACGATACGCTTGTATGTATGAGAAAAACGTACTGTATTGATTGGAAAGACAACTGCCTCTGCATTCATTTAAAAATCTCAGCTTCCTAGTTGCCAAGAGACATTCAATTTGCACTATCCATATTAAACATACGTCACGCACACGCCTCATATAACAAATGCCATATCACATGTTGAGATCCAGGCTGTAAAAAAACACATGACACACGAGAAGCGCCGCTGGCTCTTCTACGATGACCGTTCCCTCTTACGAAGGAGTCGCAAAACAACCGGTGCCCCTTCAAATGGCGTGGTTTTTCCCACCTTTGCTACACAACGAAAGTTGAGCGTGTGGCTCCTACAAGTTCCCCCTCCCTGACCTCAAGAAAGTCCGACAACGTAGCCCAGGGGCTGACACAGGATGTCAACAGGCCCGCCCATGCCGCTTGTGACCGTGACCCCTTTCCCTGTGGGGCGGGCCATCACGTCCGTCTCCATCATCTCCGTCCATCACTCCGTCTCCACTCCGCCCCTGGGCTTACCTCACTGCGCGGGCACACTTTGCTGTCAGCACCGACAGATTTTTCAGCGCGTCCGCCGTCGCTGTTGACTCTGCAGGCAGCCCCATGATGTCGTGGACGATAAACCACATCGTGGAGCGCGATGCACGGGACACTTTCTGGTTGAAGACGTAGTGGGCAGCCCCGAAGAGAAGGAGTGCCTCTTCAAGGCACTGGGCGCTGGTCACCACTGTTTCTTCGACCACGATATCGAAACATTTCATCGTCATATGAGTTCCTGCTAAGGATGGTACTCACCCTCAATAAGGCTCAATTCCAGCCTAAAAATGGCACCACTCGCAGTCGCAACCACACAGCACCCAACACCGCTATTCACTGATCACCGGAAATGGCGGAGAAAAATGGCGGACCTTTGGCGCGTTCCTGATGCTTCCAACGAAGAATCATTGAGGAATAATATGGTTCTACTCGGGTGATATCAAGAGTATTTTGAAAGAATCAGGCAAAGGAAGCATAACAGAAGAATATGAAAGCATCTCAAGGGAATATGAGCCTCCCTGTGATTCCGGCAAGATACCCTCTGGGCAATGAAAGGGTATATTGCAAGAATAGATAGAGAATCATAAAGGCATAACTATCAGCGACTGGGGTATCAACAGCATCTTATGCGCACGGAATCATGCAGAATCATTTGGGGTATCAATGGCATAATATGGTTCTCACAGGGTGATATCAAGAGCTTATTAAGAGAATCAATAATTCATGGAGGACGGGGGAATATCATGGGAATATGAAGCCAATTGCGATTCCATGAATATACCCCATAGGTATAATGAAGAGATCAAAAGGGAATAATTGGGGTATAGACTTCAATGATCAGGGCATCAGGAGATTCATTTTGGTTTTCAGTGTTAATAGTTCTCATTCCCAATGCGTTAGCTAGCCTTTTCCGTGTCTTCTCGCTCGCCTTGCCGTGTGTATAAAGTAATTTTGAGCAATGAGGTTTTTAATTGCCACAACGTCGCGCCGTCTGCCGTGACCGGAGAGCCGAAGCGACGTAAGAGCTGTTCTTGTACTTAACTCTCTGTATCATGGTGTAACAATGGACTCTGTGGTGACGGATCCAGAGTGCCGTGTCCTGCGGTAGATTTGAGATTCTCTCCATGGTGACTAACCCATACTGCCGTGTCCTGCGGGCAGCTTCTCGCCGTGGTGACTGACCCAGTCCTGTGTCTCCCTGTCCTCAGATTCTCTCGGTGGTGTGGTGTTTAGTGACTGACATAGTCCCGTATCCCCTTGTCCTCAGATTATCTCGGTTGTGTGGTGTTTAGTGACTGACATAGTCCCGTGTCCCCTGTCCTCAGATTATCTCGGTGATGTTGTGTCAGTCCCGTGTCCCCCTGTCCTCAGAATCTCTCGGTGGTGTGGTATTTAGTGACTGACCCAGTGTTCTGTCCCCTGTCCTCAGATTCTCTCGGTGGTGCAGATCCCCGGCGGCGGCCGAGAGACCATCTGCCTGCCCTCACTGAGCGTCGAACACAACTACTCCAGTGTCCTGTCGCAGCTGGTGATGAAGCTCTGAGCACCGCGTCAGTCGGCTGATAATCACCGGAGTGTGACGTCACGTCACTCAGAGGTGACGTCACACCGACCGGAGCTGGGGTGGCGAGCGAGTCGCGAGTGTGTGTGAGCTGAGCCGGTGAGGTACTTAGTGAGTTTGTGTGAGCTGAGCTGGCGAGGGACTCAGTGAGTTTGTGTGAGCTGAGCTGGCGAGTGGCTCAGCTGTGCACTGGGTCCTGTGCGGTGTGAACTGTGCTTTACGAATCCAGATCAGTCAGTTGTGATCTGTGCGATGTGCCCTTTGCGTGAGTTTCGTGTGTGCTGTTGCGTGTGTGTATTTATCAGATCCGTCCAGCCCGGAGGACTAAGGCCCTATCGAATCCGTCCATATCGAATATCAAGTGTTATGTGCAAGTACAAACGTGATCGCTGTAAATAGGATGAGATGCGAGCCATATTTTCAGAGCGCACTGTCGGTAATCGAGCCGTCCGCCGGAGATTTGTGGCTCAAAAAACTCTATTTTGTAAGACATCTCGACGTGACGGTGCGTGTGCTTTGTGGAGAGCGTTGAATATGCTATTTAAGCTCCCGTCGCGGTAGTGGGTAGTCATTAGAGTAGATCTGTTTCACCGGCCTGCACTTAGATGTGAGACAGTTTTTCACCCGCACCAATGGCATGGATCTCTCACATGTAGCGGTTTGCATGTTGTCACAAATATTTTTTTTTCCGGTCAAACTTTATGCTGTAAGATGAGTGCTCTTTCAGTTTGTCTTTTTCCACAAAACAGCCAAAATTCGTGGTAGTTCTGAAAGATCTAGTCATGATAAAGATATGTCCTCTTTTACAATATGTGATCTAGTCATCACCCATGATGTGAGCTGTACTTATTAAATATATGTTTTTAATATAAATCTGATTCAGATTAAGGTTTATCTGAGCTAAATCATTTTAATTTATTGTCCGTATTCTCTACACATCTGAGAAGTATGACATGGACAGCAAGGTGTAATCGTTGCTCACTTTAGTCCAGGTGTCGTATTTACAGATTATCCTCGGCTCCTGGCTCAGTAACGGATCTCTTTCGCATGTCGCCCGTCCGTCCATGCTCGTCTTACAGTGAGATACCGCCTTACGTGTTGATCAGTAGCCGCCAATGTTCCGTCAATGTTCAGTGCAACCACACGATCACGCCCAGCCTAGAATCCGTCAATGTCCAGCGCTACCAAACGATCCCGTCCAGCCACTAGCCCGTCAATGTCCAGTGCTGTCAAACGATCCCGTCCAGCCACTAGCCCGTCAAATGTCCTCTATCAAACGATCCCGTCCAACGAATGCCTGCGTAATGTTTGTACCGCACCCCTCGTTGTATCTGGTGACGTGAGGCTGGCGACGGGAGCTCGCTGAGCCATGGGACACCCGCCTCCGTCCCTTCACCCACACAGACACGTCCCCTCTTCCGTCTCCTCACACACATACACTACCATCGTGCCGCAGGCATCTGCACTCTGCAGTCCATACCAGCACGGCTTCTTTTCGAGTTTGTTTACGCTAGTCTCCGCTCCGCACAGAAGCCTCGCACGTTTGTTACGTCGAGCGTTTTGTTGCGCGCTATTTTCTGCGCTCGTCGCCGGTCTGATTTACCGTCTGCTGTTTTGTCGGGGCGTGTGAGCCTGGTGGAGGTGTCTGACTGGTACAGACGCCGATCATCGCGGCTGTGTCAGAGACAGAGGGCGTCGGCCGGCTCCTACGCCGTCTGCCGGCGCTGCGCCGCCCGCCGGGTACGGCCCGTCACCCCGGTACAGTACCGCCCGCCGGGTACGGCCCGTCACCCCGGTACGGTACCGCCCGCCGGGTACGGCCCGCCGGGTACGGTACCGCCCGCCGGGTACGGCCCGTCACCCCGGTATACGGCGGCGCCGTGTCGGACGGACGGCGCAGGGAGCCGGGACAGGGCGACTCCGGCCGGCTACGGCCCGTAGCGGCCCGGAGACGCTGCGATCGGACGCAGACGGATTATGGCCGCACTATCAGTGAGCGTTCGGTGATTCGTTCGTGATCACCAGCCAATGTTATGTTGCTTTTGCGCCGTTTTGTATCTCCGGTTGGTGTTTGTCGTGGAGGAAATATAAGCATTTCACTATGTTGTGCTTTTTTCAACACATTTTCAAGGAATCTAACATTTAGTGCATCTGTAGGTGGGGCGTTCCATGACAGATCGACCAAGCCATAACACCCTACCTCTCAGATTTTGATGAAATTGCGTCTAGGGGGTTATCTGTACCGTAGATTCTTAATCTCCTATTTTCAGCGTTATACTACAAACAGTTTACGAGTTATAGCCAGTGGCATTTTTCAAAATGCACAGAGTAACCCTCTTCTTGACTCACATTATATAAAGATATGGTCTGTAACTTACATTAATATGTATATCATTGAAATTCTCATTGACTGAAGAAAAATAATCAATCAAAATATTTTGAAAATTTTCAAAATCTCAACAATTTTTTAATTAATACATTTTTTATTTTTTATTTTCAAAATGTGGCCATTAAATTTTTGCCAAAAAGATTATGCCAAAAGATGCCTCTGGATATGAAAATTAGATGTACAAAAATTTGGAGAGGTGTTTTGCCTTGAACTTTTTATATAATTTTTTATTTACGGCAATATTAACACGAGCAGTGGAAGGGGGATTTCGCCCACCCCTCCTGTTTTTCGCCAATAACTCGCGCCGCAAACATAATATTAATGTGAAGTTTTGACTACCTGTCCAAAATTGAACTGCGGATCTCCTCGTGCAAGAAATAAGAAAATTGGATCACAACTTTTCTAGTAATAGCGGTGTAAAGTCAAATATCCTGCCGCCGCGGCGGCGCGGCGGCCGGCGCTAGCCGTTACGCGCCGCCTGAATCGTAGACTGTGCCGGGGCGGGACGGTTCCGTCTTTACATCGCGCTCCGGCGCTGATTATATTCGATTGGCGTCAAATTTTGTGAGAAGACTGAGAAATGTACAGGCAATCCTATGGTTCAATAATTTTGAAAATAGGTCGGTAACAACTTGAGTTATGAGTGTGTAAACACAAAATTGTGATTGCCGCGTTTCTCGCGTCGGCCGATCCCGCCTCAGCCGGCGACATCTTACCCTTCGCAGGCTTCCAACTGCCATATTTATTGTTGGATTAACTAGAAATTCACCATACATACTCACAAATGTATATTCTCTCGTATAGTGAAAGAAAAAAGAAAATCGACCGGTAACTTTTTGAGTTATCGGCGTGTAAACGCTCATAACAGCCGAGGCTGTGTTAGGGTCAAATGAGGAGAAGGCTCACCCTAGTAATCGCATGAAGTTCGCTCTGTCCATGTAATAATGGGCTTTCAGTGAGTTTGCTTATTGAATATGCCACACACAAAATATATGCAGACAAAAGTGCGGCATTTGGAAGCAATTCATTGCAATTGCCTGGGGCGTGACCAGGTCAGAGAGGGTGCAGATAACAAAATTACAAGTACCGACGTGAAAACTGGCCGGGATTGTGCGCTCCCTCGGGAGCAGCGGTGCCGCTCCAAGGGAGCAGCCCGCATGAGATAAAGTTGCCTGTCCAGCCCGGAGGGGGGTTGCGGCGTGGAGGAGAAGGATTTCTGTATCCTGAGCATAGAAGCACGGAACTGGAAGAAGAATGCCTGGAACTGGAAGCATCTCAAACGTTTTGGATTAATGTATTTCAAGGTATTAAGTGGCTTGGGATGCTCCATGTTTCACTAACATTCACTTCCATAGCATTTTTATTTCCACCTGGCCGAAGGTTTGATGTGCAGCCCCAACGGTTTTCTCGAGATCGTTTGCAACGCTGTAAGGCTGGAGAGCTGAAATTGACATACCTTCCTACCTACCTGAGCATTGACTTAAGCCGGATTTTTTTACGCCAACAGAATTTTGAGGCTGAGGTCAGCTTACTGACCTATGACAGCACAAATAAATATCGGAACGATGCAAAAAGTTGCAGCTTTACAGCGCCCTCAGTGAGCCTTTTGCAGGGGATGAAACTTAAGTAACGGCATATAGTAACGGCTCTTGAGATTTCACATCAATTCCTCCAACTTTAACTTTCACCCGAGGTCAAGCTGGCCACGTGACTTCACTATTACAAGTCAATGGGAAATATTGAAACATTGAAACTATTATTTTGATGCCGGAAACGAACGAAGCCTGTCATCAATTATCAAACACCTGTAATCGTGATTCCATACACTTTGCAGAGGGTGATTCTTCGGGACCTTCCATGACGTCGTATACCTATGCTAATTGCTAGTAGGTACTTTGTATGGTCGTTTTAGGTCATCGTTTTTCTTTTTGTCAATAACCTTGATTGGAATTAATCTCGCGAGTCGAATAAGCCACCAGTGCGTGAACTCACGGAACCCTGCTGAACCTAATCATATCCCTAAAATAGCTGCTTTCACGACAAGTATCTAACACACATTTACTGATAGTTGATGCGATTTGGTCAAATTTGGTTCATAGTTGATTCTCAATTGCTTTAGCTTGGGTTGCACTAGTTGCTTATTGACCTTATTTATCATATTATCAGACGTTCCTTTTAAATCAAACATTTGAACAAAATTACGTTATGAAAATAGCTATACAGTAAAACAGATTTGGCTAGATTCGTCTGACATCCGCCATGAAAACGGCTGATACATGGCCTCATTTGACCAGCTCATCTTGACCTCAGCGGTTTTGATGTGACTTCGACCTGAGGAAAACACCTTAAGCTGACCTCTTCCAAATACAGTTATATCATTACAGTCAACTGGTGACCTCTGTGGTCAGGTCAAATGCCCTGAACCAGGGATTAATTTTCTGTCAATAAATCCCCAAATGGTCGCAGCACCGTCATTTCAGTACCTGACACTTATCTGGCACCATCGTGTTTATGATGCTCCGCCGGGTAGAATGGTGTGCTGATATTTTGGAAAGCTCAGCTTAACGTGCTTACTTCAGGTCAAGGTCAGAACGAAGTCGTTCAGGTTACGAATCTGGTCGATTGAGATGATTTTGAGTACCTACATTGATGACCCTTCCCTCAATGCCCTCATTTTGTTTGGAATCAATTGACGAAAAATTATCCCATCAAACAGCCTTAGTGACGTCACGAATGACGTTCCGTTTTTATGTCGTCACGCAAGGTCCAGGAGCAAAACTGAAACATCGGACCTAGCAAAGAATGCGTGAAGTACATTCTCCTCGTAAATAATTGTTGGCAATGAGGGCATTTCGCTCTTGCGACATTTTTAACATTACATAGACTTACTTATTTGACGTAATAGTTCAGTGAAGTGACCCTATATAAAGTTCGTTTGGTGTCACAAGCTAAATCGAAGATAAGTTATAATAACTTTCAGCGCTCTATCGCCATTGCGTCCCTAGCAGTGATGAGAAAACCGTCAGAGGCGGATAGTACTCGCTCCCACGGCCACATGCGGTTTAACCTCGCTCTCTTGAGAACAATACGTCATTATGACGTCTTTGACTATTTGGGACCTAGCTTAGCTTGCGTAGGTGTCCTAAGTCTCTTTAGAAAAAATTAACAGAGTTGCAATGAGCTCTCAATCACATTTGACCGTTCTCAGTTCGGACCAGTTGACAGTAATTGTTATTTTTTCCACTGTACGACGAAATTTAATGTTGTATAGCGACCTTAAGAGGAAAAACACCTTTTTAATATTTTCATCATTCAATGGCAATGCGTTGAGAAGACTTTTACTGCAAAAATAAATTGCAAAAAAAGATGGCCACATTCTCAAAATTTGATTTTTACAAATAAATCATATGTAAAAAAAATAAAAATCGAAAATTTTCCAAAATAATTGATATCACACAAATCTTTGTTTAATTCCAATTGTGGGGATATGCAGTTTTATATGAATCTTATGAGTATTTAGCGAAATATCCGCGGATGAAATTTATAGTTTTTATGCTAGTCATTAAGTTGCCTGGGGCAATATCTCCCAAAGTATTCGACGGATGTGATTGAAAATGTCACAAAACGAATCGCCGGGCTAGATAACCACATAGCCGAAATTTCATTAAAATTGGAGAGGTAGGGTGTTATTTCGCGATTTTTTTGGTCGATTTGTCGTGGAATGCCCCAGGTGCCCATCAAGTGTTTGAAATCCTTCTGGCTGGGCATTCGAAATAAAAAACAATGAAAATGGAAAGCCATCGAACTGAGTTGAGCAGGATGTGGCTGCACCCACTAACCACGAGCATCAGTCGAGTCTCATTCATCGAGCGCCGCAGGGACTCCACCCCGAGCTCCCACCACCGCCTATCGGGAGCTCTACCAACTGAGCTATGTGGACTTGCTCAATTGAATAGAGCTGTTTCAATAGCAAAAAGTAACCGATGAGAAGTGTTGTGTTTGTTGCAAACTATCCGTATAGTTGCACTTGTACATACACTACACTCTCAGCTGCAATGGAACAGCGAACATCCATTTTCAAGCACGCTGCAGTTTAGTTGCGCCAGTCGGCAGTCACTGCGGTGCAGTATAGCTTCAGGCGCATCTTGGTAGTGACATCTATTGGCGCTGTTCAAACTAAAAGTACCTCATGCTTCTTCCAGGGAGGTGGCTCTCGAGCTCCGGTGCGGGATGGGAGGAGGGAGGCGGATCCAGCTCAGTTTTTTTTTTTTTGGGGGGGGGAGGCAAACCATAACAATTTATCGATTCTTTCCATGCATCGTCCATAGGCGTAATGTTAAAATTATGCCGTTTGGGGGGGGGCAAATGCCCATTTTGCCCCCCCCCCC